AAATTCATCGTTTTTGAAGTCCGTCTTTAAATAATTTAATGCAATCGTACTCCTATATAGTCATCTCCTATATAATCACATCATAATAAAACCCTTTTTATAATCACGCCAAAGTTTGCAACACTTTACTAATAAGCCTGTAAAAAATACTTCTTCATAAGCATATCATAATAAAACCTTTATATAATCACAATTGCATTATATGGATTGCGCGATTATATAGGAGGAGGACGACCGTAACGAAAATAAATAATGAACATGGCAAAAGAAACAAACCACTCTTTTAATCACACAAATAACATGATTGCTTCCTGGTTTTTTGGTCCACGTGCGGAAAATAAAGAATTTGTTAAAGAGTTTTACAGGCAGAAGGAAGAAAGACGTACTTTGACACTGAAGATCCAAATTTCATTACATTGCAAATGCAAAATTCTAAAGAATTCAAAACTAGTATGGATTATTTCAGAAGCCAACTCAACAAACTTTTAGAAAAACTCAATGAAAGGACTGTACCATTTTGGTCACCTCGTTATATGGGTCACATGGTTACAGAAACAACCATGCCAAGTAACCTTGGTTACGTGGCAGCCTTACAATACAACCAAAACAATATTGCTACTGAAGGTTCTCCACTAACCACTTTGCTCGAAGCTGGTGTTGGAAATCAGTTGTGTGAAATGCTTGGATTTAACATAGATAATAATCTAAACATCAATTTGGACAATCTTGACAAAAAAAATGAAAATATTTACAATTTTGGCCTTCACGAAATACAAAGCTGGGGTCATATAACGTGTGACGGTTCTGTAGCAAATTTGGAATCCATTTGGTAAATTTCCTTCAAAATATAATTATGTTTATTAAATCTGCTAATACTGTATTTGTTTTGCACTTTTTCTTTTAGGGCCGGTAAAATTCGCTATATGTAAAATTAATAAAACTATATTAAATCTTAGAATGCTAAAATGTTCAAAATTTATTCTCATCACTTTAATAGCACGTAACCTTAAATTCTATGCGCTATCCCTTCGCCTTGCTATTGAGGAAGGTCAATTGTCGTTCATTGGCAGGAATTTTACTGTTGAGTTAGCCAATGGCTTGGAGAATAAGCTTCTTATGAATTGTACCACCTGGGAATTGCTTAACCTCAAACCGACCACTGTGTTAAATATCCCTGAAAGGCTTTTTCAAAAGTATGGAATTTCTCCTCAGTTTTTACAGGCTTCTCTCAAGGACTACTCCATTCAGTCTGTAGGAAAAGATTATCTAGAGCAAAAATTTGGTATCACGAAATCATCATTATATTTTGCAAGTAGCACACATCATTATTCATGGCCTAAGGGTTGTGGTGAGAACTGGGCTTTTTTTTTTTAGTGTGTGTGTGTGTTTTAATGTTTCGTTTACAAATATTTCTTCTACTATTACTAATATTTCTTTTACTTTAATAAATTGGGTCCGCCTCATTTCACCGACACTCATTTCGTAGACATAGCATTTCACCGACAAACAATTCACCGACATGTTCATTTCACCGACACTTAATTCAGCTTAATTCACCGACACTCAATTCACCGACAATAAATTCAATGACACTCAATTCACCGACCGACACTCAATTCACCAACAATCAATTCACCGACACTCAATTCACCGACATTCAATTCACCGACACTCAATTCACCGACAATCAGTTCACCAACACTCAATTCACCGGCAAGCATAATTCACTAACCTTAAACATAATTCTGGTATAATTACTTTGTCAGTGAATTAATTGTCGGTGAATTAAGTGTCGGTGAATTGATTGTCGGTGAATTGAGTGTCTGAGTTTGTCGGTAAATCAAGCTTGTCGGTGAATTGAGCTGTCGGTGAATTAAATTTGTCGATGAATTAAGTGTCGGTGAAATGAACATGTCGGTGAAATGCTGTGTCTACGAAATGAGTGTCGGTGAAATGAGCGGAACCGAATAAATTATATTACTTTATTTAAAGCCATTGTTGGAATTGGATCCGGAAATTTGAAAAGCATTCCAGTAGACAATGCGGCACGAATGGATGTTAAAGAGCTTGATAAAGTTCTCTTCGAATGCGTTAGAAATAAACAAGCTGTTTATGCAGTAGTTGCGATTATGGGAACAACCGAACAAGGTGCTTGTGATCCTTTAGCCGATATAGTAGCGCTTCGAGATCGATATCAACGCAGATATGGACTTAGTTTTGTCATTCATGCAGATGCTGCATGGGTGGATACTTTCGTACGATGCTTGTTGAACCACCCCAAAATTTCTCATCTGCTGATTGCCTAAATGACCATAATGAAGATCATAATACTCTTGTTCCTATTTTGGCGTTAAATCCTTATACAAGAAAGCATTTATATAGTCTAAAAGATTGTGACTCTGTCACTATTGATCCACACAAAAGTGGATATATCCCATATCCTGCTGGTGGTTTATGTTATCGAGACCAACGCATGAGATATCTGGTCACGTGGACAAGTCCAGTCGTAACTCGTCCTAAGGAAGAAAGTATGGGAATTTATGGTGTGGAAGGAAGGTTAGTCTTAAACTGAGGCAATAAATGCAATAGAATACGATAGTTTCATATTTTCAAATAATAACACTTCTTATTTTCTAGCAAACCTGGTGCAGCTCCGGTAGCTGTTTGGCTTTCTCATGATGTAATCGGCCTTCATCAAAAAGGTTATGGTACATTATTTGGACAGGCAACTTTTACTTGCAGCAAGGTATGATATTATATGTGAAATAACCATAAATTTATTAAAGATTATATAACCAAATACTTTATTCTTCAACGCAGATGTATTGTCATTGGGCTACTATGTCAACTGATGATGATGACTTCATCGTTGTTCCGTTCAACATGTTACCTGTTGAAAGGCTCAATCCACCAAATCTAAAGGAAGTCGAAAAACAAAAATAAAGAATCAGAGAACTAATTGTCAACAAATCAAATTTGGAGATCATAAAGAATGAAGAAGCATTAAATTTAATTAAAAATGTTGGTTCTGATCTTATCATAAACACTTTCGCATGCAACTTCAAAGTGAAAGGCGAAGTGAACGAAGATGTAAACGAAGCAAATTATCTTAATCAGCGTCTATTCGAAAATTCTCACTTACCTCTTACAGACAAACTAACAAATCAAAACCGTTGATTCTTACTTCCACGGTACTCAAGCAGAGTGCATATGGTCATTGTCTTACGAATTTTAAGAACCGTCTCGGCTTAAAGGGTGACCAAGACCTCTATGTGTTAATTAATGTAGTTATGTCTCCTTGGCCTACGGAGTTTGGTTTTATCTCTATACTTACAAATGCTTTTAAACAATCTTTGAAAGAGCTGGCTGAGGTAAAATTTAATCTTTGAATGACTTTTTTTTATTCATTTTCTTTTGTTTTATCACTTATAGTTTGTTATCTACAGCTTTCAGCTATACGCAATGCAAAAATACCCATTTACTCTAGCAGAATTCTATCAGTTAAGGAACGCAATACAAAAATACCCATTCACTCCAGCAGAATTCTATCAGTTGAGGAAACTCAATTAATCGAGAAAAGCTACTATCATTTATTTGTCATTCAAGGTACAGATGAAATTTATTTAGTGCACTTGCCATTGTTTCAATTAGAAACCCATCGTTATCAAGTCATTATCAAGGTTGAAATACCGGAAAGAATAATGGAATTGTATAAGAGCCTTCGTAAAAGAAACCCCTGGAAAGTGATGTTGATTTGTTACCAAGAAAATATTACAATAGATCAAATTACAGCCGAAGGATGTTCTTTCAAAGCACATATTATAGAAAATTTTAATCCTTACACAGTATTAAAAGAGTACGTAATCTAAAATGTATTCATTACGTTTTATTGTATATTTAACCTAAGATTTTTTTTTTTTATCATTTATGTTGATTCTCATTCACCCAGACGTTCTAAAATGTCTTCAATAAAAAATTTCAATGTGAAAACCATTAAATTGCTCAAGAAGCGCAACTTGGGATTATCCTATCAAGATACAGACTATCCGATAGATCATATTCCATTTTACATTTATGGAACAGAAGATCAATTACATATTGATCACTTAATTCTTAAATCACCCTCTATTCAACTTTCGGCTGAGAATGTTCAAATTGAGTTCACGTCGGGAAAATTTACAAGAGAACAGAAAGGGAAAGGAGCTATTGTTCACATAATTGCAAAAGAAGAAGAGGATGGTTCCATTATTGATTTATGTGAAGT